TTTGCTTTTATATTATAGATAAAGATATGGTCCAATTTTTTTTCAGTGCTCAATATGGTGTGTAAGGAATATACTAAGATTATCCAGACATATTTTAGGATATTCTTTAATCTAACAGTTTTGATTTTCTCCCTAATTTGTTAGTAATAATTAATATTCTTACTTATCACTAATATAAATCATATTTACCATCCATGAGTACATTTAAAGAAGAATTATCACATAAATCTAGTTCAAAACTTGAGCTAGAAAATATGCTCTATGAGCAGCTCTATAGTTTTAGCTTTTTCTCACTTCTTCTTCAACTAATTTAATATGAAAATTAACAATTGCACTTAGATTTTCAATTGTTAAAGATTAATACTAAAGGTTCTTGTGATTAGTGGTCACATAGGAAGAATCTTCAAGGAAATAACACTAACCTTCAAAAGGGTTTACAATTGTAAACAATTCTTTATTGAATATGTCATAATCAATTTTTGTAGTGTACTTTCAAGAATAGACTAAACTCACTATTTAATCCCTTCTACAAAAAGACAACACCTAAAACAAAATCTGAAGAATTAGCCTGAATAAAATATAACTTCATGTTGTTTAAATAGATGGAACTAATATAAATTTTAGGAGATCAATAGAAGGCTAAGCAACATAAAACCATATAAAAGGGGCATCTTTTATAACTAGCCATATAAAAGGGGAATGAAACACTGATAAAAATTTGTTGGATATCATAAATAGAAATTGGGTGTTGCCACTCAAAAACAGTGGAAACCTTTGTAAGATTCATAATGATACTACATACAGAAATGATATAGTCTAAGATCTCCACTGAATCTTGATAAAATAAATATTTCTCCAACTTTACAAGAAAGTTGTATCATCAAAGACACTAGAGAACAATGTTAATATGATAATGGTGCTTTTCTTAAGTTCCAAAGAAGAAAAGAGTGTCATTAAGATAGATGACAATAAAAAGATTATGAAAAATGTTATTTGCCATATGTTGGAAAATAATAGATGTGTTGGTCATACAAAAAAATATCACTATGTACTCAAAATGGCTATAATAAGTAGGAAAAATTATTTTCTATTCATCACCCTCCCAAATGTAGATATAGTTGTAAGCGCTATGTAAGTCAATCTTATTGATGAACTAAGCCTTAGAGAGCTACTTCAACATCTCAAGGATTAATGGATGTAAATATCAATTGAAAATGATGACTTGGTTTAGATTGTAGTAATCAACCACTAAATAAAAAGACCTGTCTTTTCTAGACTCAAAGAAAACAGATATATCAACTAAAAATTCAAAATACTGAATAAAATCTTTGCCTATATAATAAACTTTACTAATGAAAAATTATAAATAAGACCAAATGGTAGAGATTTCCCCTCCACAAAATTAATAAAGCAATTATAAAGTTGATATGGTGGCAAGATATTAGCTCTTCTTTTATCCATCCTCAAAGTTGGCATACTTTGGAGGGAAGAATAAATTTGATCATAATATATAAAGTTGCAGCTGGATGAACAATAATTACAAAGATAGAATAAAGATATTGATATTTAAAGAAATGTGAGAAATTTGGATTGGAAAAACAGGAAAAAGACTTAAAGAAAGGGAGAATTATCCAATTAGTATCTTGTCACTTCCAATCCACTGATCACATGCTTAAACCAAATAAGATTAAAAATGATGAAAGCTTTTGGGATAGAAACAACATTAAAAGTGATGCTATGACAAGTCCCAAAAATTATCACCTTCATCAACTCAATCTCGTGTGTAATGAACCTAAAGGAGATTTATTAATAGTCTACCACTTCAACACAAATTGAATATTGTGCTAGTTGAAAGAGAATGCCACAAGAAAGTGCAAACTTTTTATCAATAAAGTTTACATTAGCATTGATGTCATCTAAAACTCAAAAGGAGAAATCAGATTTAATGGACTGAAAGTGAGTAATGATATAGAAATTCTTAAAGATCTGTAAAGAAAACATGGAACCAATATAAAAAAAAGAAAACCCTTAATTAGACTAAATTTTTTTTTTTCTAAAATTATGTATGTTATATTTACTGTAAGAGCCTTAAAGCATGCACAAAGATGAAGATATTGTTTTTTGAAGTGGTCTAGCCACAATATATATGAAGGTGGTTTTTGATCTAGTGTCATCATTTATCATAAAAAAGATATTGTTGATGTCTGGCTCCAATCTCCATTGCTTTGTTTATATGTTGGTTGCTCTAAATTTGGGGCCATTAAAAAAATAATAAATTTTGATAAATATGCTCAAATCTTGTTCTTACAATTGATTATTACAATAAACAATAAGGCTAATGGTAATTGTAAGAGATATTAGATCTGGATGAAAAAGCATAAGACCTTTTGAGACTAAAGTAAAAATGTTTTTTTAGGGTTGCATCATCCTATGAAATATCAGTGGTGATCATTTGGAACTCTAATTCATAAGTGGATACAAACTTGGAACTTTAATGCAATTGTTACAATTTATTTTTTGTGGTGCATTCTTGATTAATATCACTAAACATACTAGTGAATTATTGAACAAAGAGATTGAAATCTTGAAGATAAGATCATTATTTTCAAAAAGGGCAAAGAACAAAGAAATAAGCATCCCAGTAAGAAAGAGATTTGATTAGGCCCACACAAGAAGTCAGAATGGAATATTAGTCACTTCATGGTGATTCAAAGCCTAACTTTATTAAAGAAGCCTCAGAACTTAAACCATATACCATCAAACTTTATTAGCATACCAATCTTTAACTCTGAATTAAGAAGTTGTTGTTGGTTTTGAATAATTTACTAGGGTTGTGGGTGAAGTTCCATATTGGATTACTCTAATGTTTGATATAACTTCCACAGAATATTAATATTTGACTGGAATTGAAAAAAAGAAAATTACAAAGCCAAAGTGTTCCAACTGAGGAAATAAAATAAACTATTAATAAACTATTAACAATGGAAAAGAAAAGATGAATTTGTATTGAATAGTCTAAATATAAAAATTATTTTTTTTATAAAGGATCTAAAAACTAAATTGGTCCAACCCCTAGCTAATCCAGAAATCTAATTTGGATATGAATCAATGCTAATCCTAAATGTGTGCATAACAAGTCTTGAGTTCAAATCCTATGAGGAAAAGTTTACAATGGAATTCCTAGCATAGCCAATAAGTGGTAGATATGTGATAGATAGAGCTCTCCTTTGTTATATAATACATATAGTTATTTTAAATTCCATTATCATAATGTATATGAGTGATTGTCATTTGTGTTCTAGTTTATTGAACGTTAAGAGTGCTTCAACACTTTCTATACAAGCCAAAATAGTCTAACCAGGGAGTTTGAAGTTTACTAGATTAATTGATTAAATAATATTCTAAATAGAAATTATAGGATATTTATTTCTATTTAAACTTTGACTAATTTCCAGAATATTATTTACTTAAATAAAAAATTTTAAATTTGAAAAAATTATATTTTAATTTTAGACAGTTATATATGTAGGAAATTCTATATAATTATTAAAATAATTAATTTATATTATTTATTAGTCATGAGAATAGCTCATGCCTTTGTATTAATAATATTTTAGATAACTCTAGCAACAAAAAAAATAGAATAATTTTTTTCCAAAGCAAACCAAGTGTTTTGCAGTAAACTATTTAAAATGAAGTACTAGATTTTACATGATTGACATCCCTTTCTGCATTCTTGCTTGGATTGTACTTTGATGCTCACTGGAGGAGATTCAGAGCTTCTTACCTTTGATGCAGCATGTGAGATCTTTCAGGCTCTAGTCCGCACTCCCAGCGAGCTCGCGTTTCTAACGAAGACGGCAGGCAGCTGATGCTGAGGTCGATCTAGAGGATCCCTCTTGTACTGTGAGAGTACCATCCACATTGTTACAAGTTCCAGCGAATGAATGAAGTGTCAGAAGATTTCTAACGATTGCATACTAGAGGCTGAAATACTACTAGATTAACCAATAGTATGCTCTTCATCGTTTTCTTCCCAGTTTCAGAAGATCCAGCCAGAAACTGTCTTCCAAGAGATAAGCCTCGAGAAATGTGGATGGCCTCCATTGGATAAGCTGGCTCTCGGTGATTTCCAGCCAATTTTCATGCCATGCATCTCGTGAGCTTGCCTAGAGCTTCTTACTCGATACAAGAAAGGAAGAAAGTGGTGGTCATTGGTTGTACCAACATTGTCGACCTTCCAACAGTGCTACTCCAGAGACACAATGCCACTGTCATGGATAAGCATACACCAAACTCGTAGATTGCTCAAACTGCTGATGAAATGCAAATCTTGTGAGAAGAAACTGGATCAAACCTGTTATAACATAAGAATGAGCCAAGTAAAGGTGTGTGTCTCTCTTCGTACTTGGTTTGTAGAGCTTGACTTTGTATCTCCAGGACCCTGGCTCAGAAGAATTGCTATGTGAAGATCCACCACTCGCACCTTACCGGGAGGATCACATCCTTGGCATATCCCTAAACGCTACCTCGGCTGAAGCAGATACTACAAGGCACAGCCGTGCAGAGTATAAGATCGATAGAAATTCTTTGAAAAACTTACTTAAAATGCATTTTGCCCTCTGGAGGAACTTGTCAAAGTAACCTTAGAATTAGAAGAAAACTTTCTGCAATGAAGATTAACACTAAAATATACAACTGAAACCATTGGAAAAGCAAGAAAGATAAAGCAAGTGTTACCTGGATGGAGTCTATATATATTGATTCAATAGAAAGTCGACAAAGACAATTAGAAAAGATACTACCAAGGAATCTTCTTGTAGTGAAGCCGGGACTGTAGTAAATGAAATTAAAGTTTTAATTTGCAAAAAGATTAGAAAAGATGTATTTATTTTTTATTCATATTTTTTGGCAAATATTTTCCCGCACGGTGATTTTGAATGTTTATCAATGTTTGTTTGCTTAATCTTTAATATGGGAATTAGGGTTCTTGCTGTAATTTAGGGTTTGTGGCTATGGCTGAACTTCAGCGCAAGAGCTCCGCGCGTCGGGAAAGCAGCGTTTCCTGATCCATCAGTCGAGGGAGCTATCAGCACGCAGCGATCGGAATTTTGGTGAATCGGGTAAGAAAGAGCCATTTGAGCTGGCTGCAAATCCATCGCATCGTCTTGCAGGTCACGATGCGAAAGAGGGACTTGGGAATTCTGATTATCTCCGCGTTCGCCATTTTTTTCTCCCTCCAGGTAAGAGAGAATGGGGTGGTTTTGATCGTTTTTCTTTGAATTCCTTGCTCTTGTTCCAGAACGAAGGGAACTTCTCGTTCAAAGAATCGTGGTTCCATGTCGTCGACGAAGCGTATCCCATCAAGCACGAAGCCGAGCGCTTGCCGCCCCCTCTTGTCACTGATCTAAACGCCGACGGTCGCAACGAAGTTATCGTCGCAACTCACGACTCCAAGTTACTGGTAAGGAAAAACTCGTCTATACGCTCGCGTGATCGACTCTCTCTTTTTCTCTCATTCTCCAGGTACTGGATCCTCACTCGAAACTCACTGAAGATGGATTCAGCGAGGCACGAACCATTACTGAAGTTTCTCTTCTTCCCGAGAAAGTTAGAATATCGGCTGGGAGGAGACCTGTGGCCATGGCCGCCGGAGTCATTCAGCGATCTTATAACGAAGGAAAGCCCAGGAAGCAAGTTCTGGTGGTAGTCACGGCGGGCTGGGTGATTATGTGCTTCGATCACAACTTGAAAAAGCTCTGGGAATCGAGTGTACAGGTATTGTCTTTGCTCGCTTGATGCCTAGTCGTGGATGGCTGCTGATTACTTTCCTCCAGGATGACTTTCCTCACGGAGCTTTTCACAAGGAAGTGAGCATTTCTATCAGTAATTTCACCTTGCGGCATGGAGACACGGGCCTTATAATCGTGGGAGGCAGCATGGAGGCTCAGTCTCAGGTATTCTTTTTCCGTGCTATTTCTTTTCTCCTCTAATCACCATTTTGATTTCTTTTCTAGGTGTATTTGGATCCATTCGAGGAGGAGCTCCTAGCAGAAAAGGAAGAAGAGCGTCACCGGCATGCTGCAGATGCCAAAGAAGTAAGTAGACGTTCTTTCACTCGAAAGAGATGCAACTCGGAAGTTTGTTTCTTTTTTCCCGTAGGGTTCCGAGGATGTTAATGCGGGAAAGACTCACCATTTTTCATACTATGCTTTTGCTGGTATGACTGGGGAGCGTAGATGGGAGCACAAGAGTGCGGTGAGTCTTGCAAAAACTGTTTTGTATGCAAAGGTACTGAGCCAAGGCAGTGCAGGATTTTCATCGAGACCTCTCTTCCGCAGCTGAACTCACACCCCAGCACAATTACAGGCTAGATGCTGCTTCCCTTCAAGGCCGTCAGCTCGACGAGGTGCGTTAGCGATTAGTATTGAGTTTTAGCTTCTACTTATGGCTGTTGACAGGTTCATTGCAGGGACTATCGCCAGTCCATACTTCAAGTTTTGCCACATCGCTGGGTAAGCCACCGTTTATTTTTTCCTTCTGTGAATGTTACATGACTGCTACCTTTTTCGTAGCAAAGCAGAGATGATACTCGGTTCCAGCTAGTGCACTTTGTAAAGCACGAAAGGAAGCACCACAAGAAACAACCGGGTTCTAATAGAGAAAGGTATCCTCTCAAGCGTCCTAATGATCCGCATGTTCCTGGTAAAGACCCTTCGAACAAAGTCGCTCAAGCGCTTGGAAAGGCTGCGAAGCTCGCCACTTCAGCTCGGCCAAAAACGGTACGACGAGCCGTCATGGTTTCGACGTAAGCAACTTTCGGTTCTTACTGCTTGCAGAGATACGCATACATCCCAGTGATTACCAATCAATCCTCGTACTGGTGGCTGCCAAACGTTGTTGTGGCGCATTTGAAGGAAGGCATTGAAGCGGTGCATCTTGCGAGCGGTCGAACTGTTTGCAAGGTAACCGCTTTTCTTGCTTTTCTTCTTTTCGTTTGTGTTTGAGCGTCACTTCTATGCAGCTATGGCTTCACGAAGGAGGATTGCACGCTGATATAAACGGCGATGGAGTTTTGGACCACGTCCAGGTGAGAGCTACGTCCAAGCGTTGTGCCTTGCGTTTTCTAAAGTTTGGATCTTTCAGGCAGTAGGAGGCAGCGGGACTCACGTAGCTGCAGGCACCATGGAGGCGATCAAGCCTTGCTGGGCCGTGGCCTCGTCTGGAACCTTAGTACGCCAGCAGCTTTTCAATGGCTCCATATGTAGAAACTCGGGCTATGGAGCCTTCCAACAAGGCGAGTTCATGTCGAGAACGTTTGGACGGAACTTGGACGCCTCCCCCATCGAAGTTGTTCCTCCGGTCTTCTTTCTCAGGCCCACTGGCTATGGCGACGTGATCTTCCTCACCAGCCGTGGAGAGGTACGTGTTCTTGTCTTGAAAGCTTCTAGTTCTAGTTCTAAGTTCTTGCAAGTTCTTAAGTTCCAAGTTCTTGTAAGTTCTTGTTCTAAGTTCTTGTGCATTGCAGGTAACCTCTTACACTCCAGCCGGTAATCAACGCTGGCAGATCGTCACGGGAGCTATATGGTCGAGCAAGCCAATGCTGTCGAGCTTCGGCGTGGATCGAGCTGTTCCAACGCTCGAGGTGATGGCGCTGCGAAAGAATGGCCGCGGCGAAGTTATCCTCGCGGCTGGCGAGCAGGAGGCAGTGCTTATATCCTCGTCCGGCCACCAGATCGCAACTCTGGCGCTTCCTTCGCCACCAGCGCGTCCGATCGTGGTGGCGGACTTCTCCGGCGATGGATTCAACGACGTGATTGTGGTGACGGCGTCCGGGATCTATGGCTTCGTCCAGACGCAGCACCAAGGCGCGGTGTTCTTCAGCTTCCTGGTGGGCTGCTTGATCATTGCGATGTGTGTGATCTTTGTAATGCAGCACCTGCAAGCTCCCAAGGGAAAGCCCAAGAAGAAGAGCACGGACTTGTAAAGAAGTTTTGAGAAACTGTGAGTCTGGAAGATTGAGCAAATATCTATGTACGAGGCTTGCATCTATGATTTTTCTCCCCTTTTTAGCTATGGTTTCGCACTCTATCTAGCCAGCAAGAAGAAAGCAAATGCTTACCAAAGTAGAGAAAACTTCTCTACTGCATTGTTTCCTCTTCGTCCTCTCCATCGCCCTCTCTAAAAGCCTTTTGTGCTTTTTCCTTGTTCTTGGTGGTGGAGGTTTTTCTTTTGCTAGTTGAGGTACTGCTCTTCTTTGGCATAGATTTTCTCCCTGCCTTGTAGCCTGGAAGATCCATAAAGTGGTGAGAGCGGGCTGAGAAAAGTCTAGAAAACGATGGCTTGATTGGAGAATCGTGAAAACAAAGGCCAGGAAAGAGAAGAAAAGAACCTTCTAAAGAGGCTCGCAGTGGCTCCACAAACTCTCCAAACTCCAAATCGTCCAGCGCGCGTAGCACATCGTCGGCATTGATGGTCTGGCGCTTGGTTTCCCGGCAAATATCGTTGGCACTGGACAAAGAAAAGCGATCAACTGAGAGAGAGAGAGCGATAGATTTCTCCCCTACGTTGCGGACAAGTAATGGATGAAAATCCTGGTGCTCTCCGCAAACGCCTGAAACGCCTCCTTCTGGACCGGAATGTCGCGCTCCTGCCCTAACTGCGACCTGGCGAGCTCCGCGAGCTTGGCCTTGACAATCCGCTTGATATTCGCGCGCGGCAGCTCCTCGCTCTCCGGCGGCACGACCATGGCTCTCCCAAGAACCCTAAAACCTGCCCCAAACTCGAGCGGGAAAACTCCCTCTGCCCTAATTTGCAAGCGTGGCGGTGACGCGATCTGCCAACGTGGCGGTGACGTCAACCAGATATTCTCCTTCTTTTGAATTTAAAACCCTGGTGGGCGCCAAAAGAGGGGGCGAAAGCGACCCGTAAAGATACCCCAGTACGCTGTAGTGTGTAGCGTAGTGTAATATCCGCCCAAGTAGCTATTTATACACGTAGGGCCAAGGACGGCCAGTTATATAAGCAGGTCGCTTGGGGCAGGGAATATGCCGTGATAGCGGCACAAAGCCTTTCCAGCGTTACGCCAACAAAGAGGGTATCGATTTCTTTGGTGGCGACAATGTACGGCCCCGCCTAGGCGATTTAAATTGTGGCCATGTGGCGCAAGGATGGGGAGGTCCGTCATGGTTGTCCTCTTTTGCCCCCCTTCTTCTCGCTTCTATTGGATTTTATAAGTGTGTGTAGTTACACTCCAACAATGGCGGAGCTCGCGAAGCTGTAGAGCTACCTGAGAAGAAGACGATCGCAGCAACAAAGAAAGGCCAAAACAAAAGCGGAGAGAGAGAGAGAGAGTGAGAAGAAAGTTGGGGGAAAAAACCGATTTTGATGAAAGCAGTGGATTCTAGTCTCAATGCAAACTAACTACACGAACCTTAGAAACGATAAAAGTCTTCCTATAGCTCTTGCGAGACGTAGAGGTCACTGGTGCGTTAAACAATTCACGTAGTTCTTTTTCTTCGTGTTTTGATGACCCTTTGATCTTTGCAAGAGCTAACACCTGGATCTTCAAATCACGAGAAAAAGAGGTTAGAATCGAAAGAAGAGTAAAATAAGGTGGAAAACGGGGATAAAAAACTCGACTTTAGTGAATTTACTACGTAGCTTTGTCCCGACTCGTCACCACCATTACCGAAGAGGAGGCTGCGTCCCTGTCCAGTCGATGCTCTAAGATCCATTTGAGTTTGTCCCTTCTATCATCTGTCCGGAATAAGAGTGGCCAAGAGATGTGGCTTCCTCCTCTTCTTCTCGCTTCTCCAAAGCTTGAGGAGCTCGCAGCTATAAATTTCCCAAAACCTTCCCCATTGCCACTCCATCCATTCCCGAGCTCTGCGTTTGTGTTGCGTTGCGTTTTGCGTCCCTGGAAGATATTGACGTAGTTCTTGAGTGGAGATCGTTGTGTTGCTTTTCCTCCGCTGGTAACAATTGATGTCCTCGCGCTCCACAAGGATTTATGCGAATTCATGGCACTCCAAGTCACCGCTGCTGCTTCAAGCACTGTTTCTTCGGCACCACTAGCATTTATCCCTGCTCGTCCCAGCACTTCCAAAGCGGCAATGGACCTTCCATCGTCCTCATCTAAAGTTTTCCCTGAGAGCCACAGGTGGCCGCCTAGTGACTGTCCCAAAGTCTTCCACAATCAATACATCCGCGGCCTGGAGCTTCCGGTGATCGATCTGGACGAGGACGAGCGTGTCTGCCTCGAGAAGCTGCGCAAAGCCTGCGAGGAGTGGGGATTTTTCAACGTTGTCAGCCATGGTGTGCCGCAGGATCTGATGAAATCCATGGAGGGATTATCAAAATCGTTTTTTGGCTTGCCAGTCGAAAGTAAGATCCAAGCTACCGAGGGAAGCTGGAAGTTCCGTCTCTATGAGAGCTTCTCCCGCAAGAAATACACGGCGTGTTCCTGGGTGGAGGGACTCAATGTACACGACCTGTCCGCCATTCCCCAGATTGCGAGCTGCGCATGGCCGGAACAAAGCACAACTATCAGGTAGCGGAAAAAAAGAGGCCTTAATTCCGAAAAAAAAAACACTTCAAAGATCATGCTTTCTAAAGTTGTATATGGCTGTATGCAGCAAAACTTTCACGGATTACCTGAGAGAGATGGACAAGCTTGGAAAACGCATACTTCGGCTGCTGGTGCTGAGCCTGGGAGTGAAGGAGTCCACCGCCAGCGATTTGCTGAGCGGCTGTGGATTCACTGGAACTCGCTTCAATTACTATCCATCGTGTCCGGAGCCGAGCATGGCTCTCGGCCTTGTTCCTCACACAGATCCAAACTGTGTGACAATTCTCCACCAGGACAGTGTAGGAGGCCTGCAGATAGCGAGAAAAGGTCAGTGGATAGCGGTAAAGCCAATAGACAATGCCATCGTGATCAACATCGGCGACAGCTTCCAGGTACCAGGATTGTTTTTTACCTTGTATTGTCTGTTGTTCTTGTTGCTCTGGACTGGATCCAAACTTTCCTTGTTTTTGCTGCTGCTGTTTCCTTTGTTTTTTTTTTTTTTTCCATCATTTTTGTTGATTGCTTCCTTATCTCTCCCGGAGCTGAGCTGCTCTAACGATCGAATGTTTTTTTTTCTGTGAATTCCTTGTGATCTTTCCTTTTTCTCCTCCCTAAGGCCTGGAGCAATTGTAGATATAAAAGTGTGGAGCACCGCGCTGTTGTCAACTCGGATACTCCCCGAGTTTCCATCGGTTACTTCTACGGGCCCGTGGCAGAGGACTTGGTGATCCAGGCACCGAGCGAGCTGGTTGACGGGGATCATCCTCCCGTGCACAGGCCTTTCCGCTACATGGACTACATGTCCTGGAGAACCACCTCAAATCTTTTCGGGAAGAACGCGTTCAACGTCTTTACGAGCCTGGATTTCCCAGGAGCAGCAGCCGCTGCGAGCGAAAAGCCTTAAAAAGAAAAGGTTTTTTCGCTCTTGCTGCCTGCAAGCAAAGAAAGAAGAGAAGTTTTACGATAGATAGTACGAAAGATGAGCTTAAAAACTAAATTTTGTTTGGTGCTTTCAAGAGAGAGCATCCAGCAGTTTGATCTCCAAAGATGCAGGAAGCTGCAGTTTGCTTTGGAGCCAAAGAAAGAGAGAAAAAAAGAAAAACCGCAAGAGAAAACTAGCGAAGAGAAAGAACACCAATAAGGACAGCACAGCACAGCCATGGAACAAAATTCCAAGGACAAAGGAGTGTCTCCTCTTGAAAAAAAACGTGTGGAAAGAGTACCTCTGTGGGTCTTGTCGCGGCATATTCGCCGCCTGCCCGAGTCGTGGCTATAGCAAAGGCAAAATCCCTTTTGGTACAGCGATGGATTCGCCTCCACAGACAGTCTGGGACCAAACAGATGCTGATCGCGATCCATTACCTTCCAAAAGCCCTAAAACTGTCAGCCTAAGAGCCCTAAAAATTCCTTTTGTAATTAAGCCTGGTAAATTGCGAACTGGTGATCTCCAATGTTTTCCATTCGAGAGTTCTATTACGTGGAAGCAGTAAGTAAAAAATCACTCTTTGTATTCCGTTCTTGTACAGAAAACTCTAGTGTCGTTATATTGTAGATATAGCGAGCCTATATTCGTGTTTTGTCCCTTGCTCTCAAGCTTGAGGAGCTCGCAGCTATAAATTGTGTGCTGCATAGTATATTGACGTTGAGGAGAGCAATTGAGTTTTTGTTGCTTTCCTTTTACTCAGTTTGTAAAAAGTGATGTAAGCATTCCATTAAAAAACTGGAGCACAGCTCTCCATAAAGGATTTATGTGAATTAATGGCCCTGCAAGGTTCAAGCACTGTTCTTTGGTGTCACTAGCATTTCTCCCATTCAAGGTTTCTTAATCTTTATCACAATGTGGTGATGGATTTTGTATTTCACTGTTCACACTGGAATCGATGTTATTGCATAAAAAGAAAAACTTATTTGCATTGAAAACAAGAATTGCACTGTCAAAGAGAAGAATCAATAAAAATACAAGGGCGAAAAGACAATTAAAAAATGCATTCATAACCCATTTTTAATGCCTTTATTATATCTTTATAATAATTTGCTGCTGTATTTCTTTAGTTATTTTTATGTAAATAAAGATAAATTTATTTTGAATAAATTAATTTAAAGTTCATATAAAACCCCTACAGTCAAAAGTATTCTGCAAAGAAATTGACAATTATTTCAGCTCTTTATGAGAAAATAGAAAACAATACATAAAGATTATGCATGCTGCAATCCAAGTTGTGGTGGGGATTCACACTAGGATGTGCTGGTAAAAGTTGGAAAGACACTTGTGTGATTAGTTTTTAAAATCATTGAGAGGATAAATTAAGCACAATATGTTTTCAATCACTTTAACACTTCGATAAGTACACCCTCCACAAACAGTGAAGCTATATTGATTATTAGATTTGCTGGAGCTTACAACAACCCAAGCAGTAATACACATACATATAATAAAGCACAAAAGGACAAAATTTAAAAAATTGGAGAAGAAAAACTATTAAGAAAAAAATCCCACGTGAAGCATATATTCTGAAATATTGAAGATTGAGTTATAAAGATTTTTATAATGCCTACATAATCTTGTAACTATAGCACCTAGATTTTTGCCAAGTATGGGTATGGGCTAAATCAATAGTACTCCCCACTTCTTTCTATAATTTTTTGTTTCTTACACGGTTTTGACTTGAATCTTTAGTGGTTTTTGTGACGATTATTGCAAAACTAAAATCATCTCTAGATAGATCATGAATCTAGTGAAAGCTTGCAAGTGCTAAAATTTTAAATATAGTTTGTATTCATGATAAACAAGATTATTAAAAATAAAGCTTGATTTCAAATGAATAATAAATGAGCCTAAAGGTTTTCTAAAGAAAACCAAAAGCATGAAATTTTTTATCTTTATAAAACACATTTTGAGAATCAAAATCTATTTAATCATTGAGAAAACATTCTTTAAAGTGTTATATATAAAAGTAAGAAGGACTGCAAAAGTATACCATTATAAAGTTAATTGATATATCTAATATAACTCAATAAATTTCACTATGATGAAAAAGTATCTTATTATTATTACTTAAATTAGTACTACAAAACTTTTCTTACGTAATTTAACTTGGATACCAAAATTATCAACAGTTTTTTGCACCTTTAAAATAACATTAAAGAAAAGTAAATAGTTTATAATATTTAATATCAATTTTACCTTTTTTATAAAATAGTTCAAGATTTTCCTACTTCAATGTACTAAACATTTTTAGAGTTTTTACAACTAAAAAAAGGTAAGCTATTCACTTTTAATTACTTTGTTATTCAGTTCTTTAGAATATCTAGATTTTTCTTAACAAAAAAATGTATTATAAAAACTTAAATATAATAATTATATAATTTAAAATTTAATTTCTCTATAATTATATTAATTTCTAATATACCTACGTTGAAAGAGAGAGAGAATTTTATAATTCTCATTCTCAATCTAGTATTGAATTGAGTGTTTTTTATCCTCATACTAATTGGATGTTAAGCATGTGCATAAAGTTAAGAATTTTGCTTTTGCTTATTTGGTAGTGTTGAATATTCACCTATTCCAAAAGTCAAATAATTTTAGCTAAAGTTTTAAATTAAGTGAATATCCCTAATTATAAGTGCCATTGAAAACATTTATTTTATTATTGTTATTAAGAAGCTTGTATTCTTTTGAGAATATAGATATTTTTATTAATTTTCCCATCTCTCAAGTGTTAAGGAAGTTGACTGGTATGAATCTCTTATTTACCTCATCGTGGTTGAAGTATTTTATCACAGCAAGTCCCTTATTCTCTAGGGTTTATGCACATTTCCTTTTTTTCTTCTTCTTATTTCTTCTTGGACAATTACTAAAAATTCATTTTTCAATGCATCCCCAATGCTTCAAAAAGAAAGTTTTTGGAGGAGGGGGTAAAGTGGGCAAATAAAAATCCAACCTAATGACAAGTGGGGCAACTAGGGGACAATTAGGGATGCTTGTCCAATCAAGGTTTTATTTGTCATTGGTCACCAAAAGAGATCAAAATTTTATATGCAAATGTCAAAGAGATGTTAGAAAATGGTGTTATTCAAAAGTCATTGAGCATATAAACTTCATCTTGTGACAAAGTCTGATAGGAGTATTTATTTCTGCATCAATTATCAACTATTAAATGAAGTAACAATCCTAGATGTGTATCCTCTTCCTCATACTGTTAATCTCCTGAATTATCTGGGAAGATGTCATTGGTTCACCAAGTCAAATTTTGTTTTTGGGTATTGGCCAGTGCTGATGGCTGAGGAAGATATTCCCAAAACTACTTTTGATACACTATTTAATTTATACAAGTTCTTGGTGATGTTATTTGGTTTGAATAATGTTTTAGCAACTTCTTAGCGAATGATGGATGAGGTTCTTTGCAATATACTAAAGTTGACTGTTGACTTCATCGATGATATTTTGATATATTTGGAGGGGACATGGGAGAAATATGTTTGTGGCATTTGTAAGGTGTTAAATCGGCTGTAGGAAGTTAGTTTAAAGCTGAAGTATTCAAAGTCTCCAAAGACACCACTTATTTTAGGTACTATTTTTTATGTAAAGGTTTGCAAGTTGATCTTGATAAATTTTTTATTGTTCTTAAGTCCCCTATAGAGTATGAATGATGTGTAATGGTTTTTATGCAAAATGCAATATCTTAACAACTTTATTAATAATCTTTCTAATTGTATTACACCACCTCTAATTGTATCACACCACTAGAGGAAGCTGTGAATAATTCCTCTAGTTTTAGCATATCCTAACTAGAGGAAGTATTCAATAGCAGTGACAGACCTAGCAAGAGCTTTGATTTCCACCCAATGAATCAAGTAGTCAGAAGCAATAATGACATACTCATTGCCAGTAATTGACTGTGGAAAATGCCCTATTAGATTAAACATTATCAACTCAAATGGATGGGAAATTACAATTGACTTCAACTATCCTTCCATAACATAAAGAGGAGTATTACGAGCTTGTCATCAAATGCAACTACACACATACTGAATAACATCACATTACATCTTTAGCCAATAGAAAGATCAATGCAACTTTTTGATCACAAAACAATATTTTATATGCCCACCTAAAATAGGAGAATCATAGTAAGTGTGGAGAAAATATAGAATAAAGATTAAATGCACCACCTACTGTAAATGATCATTAGGATCTATCCTTATAAAATAAAAAATTTTATCTTTAAAGCGATATTAAGAATGTAAATGCTGCAATAACAAATCATTAGCAAGTGATGCAAAATTCTTAAATCCATTGTGAAGCCGTCAAATTCATGGCTTAACCTTTTGAGCCTCACAAACCTCATCAAGAAAAAGGTAAATCTTGCTCCACACTTTATAAATATTAAATATCATTAACGACACAGAATCCTTGTCTAAAAAATCCACAAATGCTAGAAAAATAAGTTTATCAGAAATATGAGAAGAGTAAAGAAAGAAAAAGAGCTCAAGAAAAGACATCAATATCAGCCATAAACTCCCTAGGCAATAAATGACATTGAAATCATATATCTGAAACTTCAAAGCCCACCGAGCAATACAACCAACTAAGTTCTTCTGTTTCAATAATAAAGTAAACAACAATATGATCACCTTTTAATAATGTCCAAGAACCATATAGATAGGCATGAAGTTTTTCGAAACCCCAAACTAATTAAACACTCCTTTGTTATGGAGTAGTTCACCTCTACTAGTTGAAATATATGTTTGATATATGCAATGGGATGGTGTTGATTAAGTACACTCGAGCTCTCTTGCATCAAAACACTTCCAAGACTGATATTAAAGGTATTTACACACAAAATGAAAAGTCAAGTATTCAATCAAGTGGTGTTCTAGCATTTATGTCCAAAGTAAATTCTTTTAAATAATAATCTCGCATTTATGGTTGAGGCATTTCAAATATTAATGTCTTGATTGGGGATATACTACACTTTCATAAGTGCTTATCATCCATAGTTAAATGGTTTGGTAAGAATGGCTTGTTCAGACCTGTAAGCGACTAATTTTTCCATTCTACTTTAGTCACTTAACCACACCTCCGACCACTTGGAGGAGTCTCATTCACAACCTCCATAAGTCCAATTCAGGACTTGGGACTTGCTAGCCCTAAGAATGGCATCCATGCCACTCAACCC